TTGGGAAGGTCTTAAAGAGCTTCTTGGCCTCCTCGTTGCACTTTGTGGAGCTGTTGCTCTTCAGCATTTCAACTTAGTAGGACTCTTTCTAAAGGAAAAGGATCAGAGTAGAGTAGTAGTTTACTCTTTCCATGTGGGAAGTGTGGGTAGAGAGAGCGTGGAGTAACATGCTTGGGTTTATATGTTCGTTAGCAGTAGCATGAGGAGGGGCACAGGGTGGATGTGTAGGAGACTTAGACTTGACCCACAGCTGGAGTAAACCAGCCAGGTCCCATGTTGGCTTCAGTGGAGCAGAAGACAGCAAAGCTTCTATCCAAAGACAGGAATATATATTCATATCCAAGAGTATCAAGCACTTTGGTTAGTCTCTAATGCTGTTTCATTCTACTTTATACTTCTCAAAGCTAGGAAAATAGTGCTCTGTTTTCCTCTCTCCACATCACTACCCCCCAGCCTGCTGCATACATCTCTCCTCTCTCCCTTTTCCCTTACTGGTCTGAGGAACTTTCAGTGGGGGAAAAAAAATCTGAACACCATCTGGTTCCCACAGACAGGATCAGCTCTTGGGCCATTTTCTCAGCATAAAACAGCACAGTTCCGTCCTCTGCAGCAGATCAACTCTTCTTGCTCCAGCTCTGGGTTCGGTCCCTTATGGTCAGTACCCAAATGGTTTCTGTTATACTACTGTTGTGCCTCAGGTCCAGCTAGCTACTGTGCAGAATCAAACAAAACCAGCCCCTGCACTAGGGACTAATACTTGTTAGTACTCATTATGCTTAGTACCTGACTGTATTTAAGTAGTGTCCCGGGAGCTTCATACACTTCCCAGTCAATCACTGTGGCTCATAGCTTTTCTGCAGCACTTGACCATTTTTGAAGTCCCAGGTGGAGCCATATGCTTGTATGAAAACCACTGCTTTGAAAAAGGGAACTGAAGTTTATATCCATATTTTTGTTATGAAAACTTAACTTTCTAAAGATTCAAACCTCAATAGGTCCAGCAAACTGAAAGGATTTCGTATAAGATTAAGGTTAAGATGACATTGATTTTTGTCAACCTCGGGCTGAAATGAGAATTGGGACTATTAATCACAATTCTATTCCAACAAAGTCTGGTAATAATGGAGTTATACACAATTCTTAAGCTGTCTGTTTTCTTATTTCCTGGTAGTTGAAAAACATGATTAAATGATGTTAATCAAATGAAATATCTGGAGCTCTTTTCCCTACAATAGTCAATAAATAAGGAACTGGAAATTGCTTCTCAATGACCCGCCTGGGCACTCAGGCTGTGGTGTGTCTTTTCAAGAAGTCAGCAATAGTCATCTGGACCAGCAGAAATGAAATGTGAAAGTTTTTAACCTTCTGATGGAAGCCTGGGACCTTCTGGTGGCTCCTGCCGCAGCCTGTGGTTGCCTCTCATGGGTCAATGTAACACAAAGCACAAAAGGAGCTGTTTTACCTCAAGTACCCATGTTAGAAGATTGATGTTTTCACTGTGCAGTTACTTCTGAAGAATCTTGCTGGCCATACCCAGAACTTGGAAACAGGGTTGTCTTCTAATGGGTAGTACTCATAATAATGAAGTCAAAGTCAAGTAGAAGCTGCTCTGGAGCTAAGCAAAGTCTCCACAGGCAGAGGGGTATGGAAAAGTTAAGTCTGGAGTGAGGGGAAGCAGAGAGCATTGCCGGAAGAAAAGCTTCTTGAAAGCTTTGTGTTTTGGTGGAATGACCCGATTTAGTGGAGTCAAATGGGGTGTTTTCCAGCCTCTGAAAGCAGCACAATAACTTTAAATCAAATACCATTTGATTTTTAAACAAACACTAATAATAATGGATCAATATTTGAAAGTCAGTTACAGCTCAGTTAATCTGTGACCTTTGAATCCTCCCAGAACTGCTCTGCTGTTCTCTCTGGTGACACATCAGAGTTCCCAGGTCTCTCAGACAGAGTGGGAAGCTATCTTCATTTCCAAAACCTGCACTTACCTCTTTAAAACCAGAAAAATACGGTCTTAAATTTCTCTTTTTGTGTGTGAAAGAGGGAAGAATTCCTTAACATCTGCACAATTGTCAAGGAAAGAACTAGTGGAAAATGCACATGCCCATCTGAAACTGAACATTCTGACATGCCCTCCTACCATTTCCTACAGGTAGTTACTCTGAAATGACAGGCACTTAGGTCTTTAGAAATGAAATGCAGCCACCTACAGTGTAGAGGACTCAGTAATCCAGGACTCTTAAAAAGAAAGGGGAGTTAGTAGCTTTGTGACCACAACTCTGCTGTAAAACTCAGATTCTACTTTTTTTACCCCCATTAGATTTCTTTCACTCCCTATTTCAAGCCATGTTTTGTAGGTTGTAATTGAAGCTTTTTGGTGAAGGCCACATCTTTCCTTCCTGGCGGAAGGCAAAAGTACCTCCTGGAGAAGCCACTGAGTATGTGGGATTTGAAGGAGTATCCAAAGGCTGATTTCAGGAGATCCTCAACAAATTCGGAAATCAGCAACACGAAACAGTGTTTGCAGGTATAGGCAACTATTTTCCTGTTTAAGTGTATTAGAAATCAGTCTTACAACTTGCATATACCGCAGAGCCAAAATGCAAGGGGAGAACCTGTGAAGCTCCTGAATTAAAAAGGGGTAATGGCTTTATGGGAAGCTTGAGTTTGCCTATCACATGTTGAAGTCTTTGAATGGTGCTACAGAAAGCACAAATCTTAGATTTTCTTTGTGCTATTCAAGTATCAGACAATGATTTTTGTTGCATGAACTTCATGTAGGACAGCTTAGGACGGGTGGAAGCATCTGCGGATGCCCCTGGTGCCAGCCTGGAGTGCAGTGCTCACATTAGCTTTGTCCTGGTGAACCATGAAACTTCTTTAAGTTTTCAGTCTTAAGGAAGACTTTGTTTTAGAAGGCATCAGGACTGGGGGATTGTGTTCTCTTGGGAGGGCTCAGTTCTGTAGGGAGCTGCATTTACAATTACTGTGAGCCAGCAAGTGCAGTGATGTTTTCACTAGTCCAGATGCTGAATGTTATGCTCCACTGGGGAGCAGGTACAGATGTAAAAATGTAGTAGCATGTTACAGTGGATTGACTTTGTAGTTAGGCTCTGTAAACAGTTATTCCTCAGTCTGTAAGTGTCCCAGGCTTGATTTGCTGGGAGTGGTGAAGCCTTCCTCGCTCCAGACTGCACTGGGTAAGATGTAGCATCTCTTTAGGTGTGGGTAGGGCTGGTCTTGCTGACCATCTCTGGTTCCATTCGTGATAAAGGGAAGAAAGATCTGTCTCTAACTCATCTGTTAACATCCTTTTAATTATGCTGCTGCCAGTCAGGATGTGAGTGAGCATGTCTGTGCACCTTGACCACACTGGTGTATTAATGAATCCAGGATGCCTTTTATGTAGCAGAAAAAGAAGCTTCTGGAAAATGTATCTACTGAAGCTTTGCAATTAATGCTGCCTTTCTTGTGCTTTGTTCATTTTGCATTGTCAGATGAGTTTGGAGAGATCAGGTTAGCCAGGACAATAAATAAATTAACCTTTATTAATTAGACTCTTTAGGACTGATTCATTTATTTTGTTTCAGTGTTTGTGATTCACCAGTACTATTTTCAGCTCTGTCTCACAGTCTCTGTCTCATATTGCAGTTTATTGTTGTATCTGTTTGGGATCATTTAGTATGGGAGGGACCTGTGATTTAAAGACTACAAACACGTATATACAATGTGAGAATAAACAGAGAAGCTTGGCTATTCTGTTGTGCTCCATGCCATGCTAATGTGGCTGTTAGGATCATCTGGTCTATAGCTGTCTTGTATCTGTTTTGGAGACAAGACGGTGGTAGCAGGCGGCTGTGTCTGTCCATCCCAATGTCCTTTGAGTATGACACCATCCTTGACACCACTTTGGGTCCTGAAGTACCAGGGTGAATGATTTCTCCCTGTCAAAATTAGAGAGTTATCCCTGCTGAAGCACCAGTAGCGCAGGATGACACATGGTTACCTTTCAGTGACTGGAGTTTGAGACTCTGGATTTGGTTTGATAGACACACATCATGCAGTTTGTCTGTTGGACACACCAGCCACTTACAACTTTCCTCCCTCTCAGTTTTGCAGAATTGGATTAAGGATGGTTTGAACTATATTTCTACTCTTACAAGACTACAGATCTGATGTCCTCTGTTTGGACACCATCCAAACACCCCAATAGATAAACAAGCCCAAGGTTGCCGTTGCAGCTCTCACCCTGCCTTGGCCAGAAGAAACAAGACAAGGCTGTGATAAAGATTTGCATCTTTATCAACTCCAAGTTTGTGTTCTTTTAATTTTCTGTCTTGGTGAATCAAAATAGCAGAAGTTGGTGTGTTTCTATGACAGTACTGGCCCATACCCTGAAATGCTTCACTTAATTGTAGAAAAGCAACTCAGGCGAGGAATTTCTGGAGGGAGAAAGCAGCAGCCCTGGAAGCTCAGCTTGCTCTCTGCAGGGCAGTGGTATTCCCAGGGTTTTTTGCCTACATTTCCCCTCTGAACTGAAGAGTTCCCTGGCTGACACACTCGTGTATTCTCAGGAGTCTGACTTGGTGCTGGCCATGCTGCTGAGGACGCTGCAGCTGAATCCTGCAGCTGAATCCCTGGAGCGGTACCCACATCACCTGGGTGAGGACGGCTCAGTGGGTGCACCTCTCCCATACGCTGGAGTAGCCTGGAGATGCTGTGTGCAAGTCAGGTAAGACATGGGGCTCATGTATAACAGGAGAATTCATGCTGTAGGAGGCCCCAGAAGGTTAAACCCCAGCTGAGCTGCTACTTGGAGAGCTGAAGCTACCATGTCCTCCACAGTAGCTCCCTGATGGGGACACATCCAATGCACCCAGACAGGCTCTGCTGCCTATTTTTCTTTCTCTTGGGGTTGAACCTATCATTACACAGAGGCTCTTTATCACAGACAGTAAAGCAGCGTCTTCAGCATGGGTTTATGCTTTGACAGACCCTAATAAAGCCATTTTTCTTTTGTAACCTCGACCAGGCAGGTCTGCTCTGGATGCTGATCAACAATTTAGCTTCACTTGGATGACTTGGGACAACCCTGACTCTTTCAAGGCTGAGTGGAAAAATGTTCCCAGCATGTCGAAGGAAGACCTTGCAGATTTGTCTCCAGTTCTTATGGCTGGTGCATCCCACTGTGCATTTGATTCCCACGTTTAAATTCTGAGCAGATAGCAGTCAGCCTTCACCAGAATACTTTTTTGCAACCCCATCAGCATATCAGAGAGCAATATTAATGCTTTAAAGTGCAAGTCCCAGATACCCCACCTCTGCCAGGAGCAAGCAGCAGAGCTAAAGCATCCAGTGGTAAATAAGCTTAGCAGATTCTCTGCCAAAGTAAGAAAAAGACCATGTTGGATTAAAACAACAATGTCTGTGTGTCCATTTGGGTTTATAAATAGGGATGTACATGGTTTGGCACATGGCACTTTTTGTTTGTAATTTTTGTGTCTCTGCTTTCCTGGTTTGCTTATATCAGTGTGTGTTTGGCTAACAGAAGGTGTATCAGACCTCCCCACAAAACTTGCGTCTTGTTCTTTAGGCAGCTTGTACTTCAGGTGCTGCTGTACCCAAAGACACACTCAGACTTTGTGCGTGGTTTCTTTCTTAATGTCTGTCTTTAGAGATTCCTCTAAATAGGAATAAAATATTACAAGCTACCTTTAAGTAGGGAGCAACTGAGCATACACTGAACATTTCATAATACGCTACTGGGATGGGGTACCTGTTCCCTCTGAAAGCGGATGGAATTAATTCTGTTTTGGTAGATAGCTGCTGGGCTTTAGCTCAAACAAGGACTCTATCTTGAGCTTTGAAGTGTCTGGCTCTTATTAAAAAAATCGTTAGGCTACAGCTAGAGAGAAGTTTTCCGAAGCTTAACCTTGGCAATGGGTAGCTTCCTATTCACAGTTGTTTTCTTCTAAATGGGTAGCCTAAAAATAAATTACCCCCTCCCCCCTCAATCTTGACTCTAAGAAGGAGAGTTTTGAATTACTTGGAAGATGTCAAGGTTTCCTGTTGTCAAGATGGGCTGGTGAGACACGAGCTTTTATCAGCCCCGGTTCATAGTTGTGTGTGTTGTGTAGGTGAGAGGGTAAAAAATACATCTGATAGAAGTAGTTTGGGCAGCTTAGTTGATGGGCCCAGTAACTTCCCCCCACCTACTCATCCTCTCTTTCAGCCTCTTGCAGGAGGAAGTCACAAAAGCAAGAGTTTTTCTTCCTGTCCTTTACAGCTTACCTTGAGCTGTGAATCCATCTGGATTCTTAGGACAAAGAGCTCCATCAGAGCTCCCTTGCTTCCACAGACGTTATTTCTGTGGGCAAATAATTAATGCCACATGGGAGCTGAAAGCAAAGGTGATAGTTACAAAAGTGTTTGCTGGCAGGTTTGGTTCATTTCCAGCAGCCTTTGCTTTATGCCACAGGACTCAAACAGCAGAGATTGCTCCTCCTGAAATAGCCACAGTGAAACATGCCTCAGGTGGTTTAGCAGTAATGTTGAGGAGGAATTGCTAATACAGTTTTTCATCTTGACAGTGAGTGGCCTCTGTTGTCTATACCTTGCAATTTTAAGGGAGAGACCTTGTATGAAGTTGGCATCCTCAAGCTTAAAGCACTGCCACACATCCCTGTTAACCACTGATCTTCTGCAGCTACTTAGGAATTCAAATGATGTTTTCTAATGAGGAACTTCAACGGGCCGAGCAGTGACACAAACATATGTTCCAATGCAAAAAAGTCTTCTGTTCTGCAACTCCGTACTCCCTCCCCAGAAATGTGGGCTATGGGAAGAAAGAACAAGATTTTGATATGCTAATTTCTGGTATCATAAAAATATAATGCTTGTTTGTCCTTTATCAACAGGCTTGTTCGTCTCTGAGGTTCAGCTTGTTGTGCTTAATCGTGTGCTGTATCAGCTGTCCTCTGAGGCTGCTGAATGAGGGTGAATATTAGCACCAGACAGTGTTAGCTAACCACACTGGCTTGGATCTCTAATACCTCTGCCTATACCAGAAGGGATGTTACTGCAGGGCTTTTGAGGCTAATGCTGGGGTGTAGCATCAGGGAACTGTGAAATGTCCTCTAGAGACAATTTCTGGACTTGCTGCTCTGATTTCAGCTTATTGCTCCTAGCTTGGCTGGAGCTGCTCTGATTTTATCTGTTAAAGTCAGATCACACTCAAGTACTGCTTTTGCCTCCCTCATTTGATTTATCTACTCCAAAGTTTCAGAAGAGCCAGCTCCATTCTTGCAGACAGACAGATGTGTAATTGTAGAGGAATTGCCATCAGTGTAACTGGAAATAGCACTGGAAGAGGAGATCAGGGTAGATAAACTAGTCTTTAAATTAGTAAAGATTCTGGATTCTTAAAGTTGTCATGTGTAGGTACATGAGAGCAATGTGACAACATTATTTCTTATTGTGTCTTTTTTTAAAGAGGCCACAATTGCCTTGTTCCTACCTCTATGCTTGCCTGCATATCTAGTGCTGTTGGGAGCCAGGTCCAGCCTGGCATTCAGGAACTCATCTGCCGATGTGCAAAACTGGAGCTGGTGTCAGCAGCACTAAGTGACCTCTGTGCTGGAGCTGCTGGGTGCTGCATCACTTTTACCCCCAGCACTCCTCTGTGTAACCTTCATCCAGGTAGGCTGAGCATGTGCTGTTTAGATTCAAAGTGCCTTTACAAGATGTCACTAACAGCAAAGGCCTTGAATTGAGTGTCTGCTACAACCTGCTCTGAGTTCACTGCTGATCTGATCCTCCTGAAGATCATGGAGTTCCCTTAGCATGAATTTGGACCAAAACATTTAACAGGGGACATCTCACCATAAAATGAATCAGAAAAAAATGACCCAGAAAAATAAGGTGAATAGTGGTGTTTATAGTCACTTAGTTTTGCATCCTATGAAAGCGAGTGGAGAGTGGATGGAGCTCCAGCCCTTCTTTATTTCAAAGTGGGTAGACCCCCATTACTTCATCTCTGCCCTCACAGATGTCAGTGATTAAAAATATCAGCTAACCACATTAGTGCAGCACCAAATCTCATGGAGTTCTGACGGTGACATCTTGCAGAGGGATCTGTCATCTGAGAAATTCCTCTATAAAGATTTTTCAGTGTTGATCTCTCTCACATCACAGCTTCCAGTCTCCAACTCCACATACCTTAAGGAGGACTAAATTGCAGATTATCCTCCTTCTGTAACAATTACTTACAGTTTTCCCTGGTCTCTGCTGAGATGCTGTGTCTCTATCACGTGATGGCACACAAGTAGTTTATTTTACTAAACTCATCCATTTGTGGCTACACAAAGCAAATCAAAAGCTTGAACTTTTGAAGCCACAGGCAGATGCTGCTTGGCAACATTCGCATTCACCTGCCATCAGCGCTCCAGAGAGGAAACCTGCAGAGCACCACCTAAATGCTGCTTGGTGATTTCATCTAGCAGGGTGGATGATTGGAACAGCAAGATAAAGGAAAGGGAGCGTTCAAAGCATATTCACTGTTGTATAGATATGCATTGTGAATTTGCAGTGTGTGTAGTAGGGGGGTTATTTTAGATTATATACAGTGAGTTTTCCAGCTCTGTTTTCTCCATGTGCTCTGTTCTGATGTACCCAGCAACATTCATGTCCTCCCTTTCTCTCATTTATTTCCATCCAGGCAAAAGCCCACGTGTGCTGCGGTGAGTTGGTGGCATCACTGCAAAATGCCTGGTTGGACACGAGGAGCTGCACACAAGCAAACAGCCATGAGCCAGGAAGGAATACCATCTTGGAGGGCCCCGTCCTTCACTTCTTCACTGGAAGTGGGTCAAGCAAAAAGCCCTGGCTAGCAAAAACAAATGCTTTCTGGGGAGTAGCATGTTGTGTAGGTCTGTGCTTGGTACAAAGTGATATTGATCCTGCATTAAGGCATTTAAGAATGGCTGCAATACAAAGAAATAAATGTCACACTCAACTAATTTAAATTACCCCTGCAAGATAATGAGAAGCTATTACAGCTCTGGATCGGCGTGCTCCCTGCTTGAAACATATAATTTGGCAAGCAGATAGCCTTTTTCTTCTCTATTTGTATTTTTTTTTGCAACCTTTCAAGGGGCAGAGCAGTAATATTGGATGGAAATGAGAAAGATGTTTAGAGCATGAATTGTGCTTTCCTACAATGCATCCAGAAAAAGCTCTTTCCTCATTTCATATCAATAAAAAAGCTAAAGATAGAGGGCAGAATAACAGAGCCTTAAGCTTTTAGGAGCAATCTTTCTAAACTTGCTATCCCATACTGCTTTTTTAATTAAAAATTTATCCTCCAAATTACTTCTGCTTTCCATCTGAATTTGGCTTTCCTTTACCTTTCAGGCTGGCATCTATTATAGCAAGTACAGCAGCATGGAGAGGGGTGGGAGGGTCAGTCAGCGATCAGCATGTGTCTTCCCTGTTTACCTACATCCTTTCATCTCACTCCTCTGCTGCATATGCTTAGCATCTGGCTGCTAACCAAACACGTTTGACTACTGTCTACAAATAACATGATTCCAAATATAAAATATTCTGTGACTCACATTAATTACAAAAAGAACAAGAAAAAAAGAGGAGGATTTTAATGAAGTGGAAGTTTTCCTGGGAAGATGAAGCGATCTGTTTGATTGCCATGAGCCAGCTAAAGAAAGAATAAATCCACAGAGGAAAAGAGAAGTCTCAATTATAGTATAAAAAAGAGTGTGCTATAGATTTGGGAGAGTAGATTTAAAATTAAACTGAGTTGGCCCCAGTGAAGTCAAAAAGAGCTGGGATTGTAACCTCAGTCACCACAGGGCTGTAATCAGAGGGGTGTAAGAAGAAGATGTGAAGATGCTCAATTTATTTGCTGGCATTTGGCAATCTAGATAGTAACCCATTTTTAACTTATTTTGCAAACCCAGGTTTCTTAAAGGTTGGGGCATCATGTCAGTTCACTGCAGCTGCCCTTTCTTCTGCACTCCCAGGTTAGAAACGGTGACTTCTCTCCAGCACCCAAACCATGCCCTCTCCTAAGACGCAGAGAAGTCTGAAACACCCATGGAAAAGCTGCTCAGTGTTTGGCACATACAGAAGGTCACACTCGATGAGGTAAGATGTTATTTTCAAGCTTATAGTCAAGTATTGCAAATAATTACAAAATAGAGCTCTATATTTATGTAGCTGAAAGTTATTTTAACTTGCATTGATCAATGCTTGCTTCCAATATAATGCATGAAAAAGTCTATCAAGGATAATGCTTATTCACTGTGAATCTTGGTTAGAAATAGATCCTCAGGTGATACATCCATGATGAGCCATTTTAAAGAGGGTATTATATGTCTCTCAAAGCCTTTTGGGAGGGAGGAGGGAAAAGGTACTTTGAGACAATAGGAAGCTGATTCAATAGCGGCACATGAGAAAGGCAGTCTCATGGTGCAGCCTTTGCAAAACAAGCTGAGCACCACAGAGCTTTTATGTAATGCAAATGATTTAGATGAAATGAGAGGAAGAACTGAGAGAAACTAAGGACAGGCCCAGCAAAGGCTAATTAAAATGAGGTGGATGCAAATCTTTGCAGGAGTTTGGAAGGACTGAAGTGTTCCATCCCTGCTGCTGTTTGCAGAGATGTTTGCTTTCAGATTGGCAGCAGGGACAGGTAGCTGGAGTGGTAATCTCCTAAAGAAATGAATGCTTTCATGGCCTCTCTGGGGCCATTTAACAGACACATCTGTGCTTGATGAAGCACAGACACATCTCCAAATCAGGTACTTGATCAGTCTTCATCCGCTAACACTGGCAGTCCTCAGTTAATAGTTTTTGTCCAATAAGGTAATAGCTGAAAGGTGTTTTTCACCCTTCATTTAAAAACTGTTGTCAAAATACAGCATAGGCAAGTGGTTTGCTTTAAAGGGTCACCAGGTACGTGAGTGCCTCTGCTTGAGCTAGGAGCTACTTCAGCAAGTGAAAGGAATAAAACAGGCATCCAAATGCTACACCGCCCAAATCACTGCTGTGAATGGCAGCACTGCATGGAGGGGTGACAGAGTTGATGTGCAAAAACACAAAGGCATCTTGGGGGCTCAGTCCAGCTGTTGGTTCTCCACTCTCAGCCCTCCACAACATCTGCCCTGGGTACTGTGAACGTCTCCCCAGAACCAGGTATGGAAACCCTGAGTTAATTGTCACTGAATGAAACCATTTTTTTCCTGAATGCCCTTTACTTATTAAAGTAGTTCATGACTAGGAGGGGGTGAGACAGCCAGGATATAATTAGAAGTGCATTCATCACTCCTGCTGGTAATTGTTTTCTAAGAACACATAAAAAGAGAATCGATTGCTTTCTGGAGTGCCTCATCACGCTGCAGGTACCACTCACAAATCACATGGAGCTGGGGAGCCCAGCCCTATCCCTGGCAGTGCTCATCTCCATGATGCACCCCACTGTTCTGTGTCCATGGGGGATGTGGGAGCAATGGCAAGAAAAATGAGACCCCATCGAGAGAGATTTATGGGCCTGGGAAGCAAATGCCTGTGATGGCAGCCTGGCCCCAGCTCTTAGAGCTGCTTTGTGAACTGCTGGAACTTGGGCCATTTGCAAAGTGCAAAATAAAAACAATAGAAAATGAAGTAAATGCGTTTCTTCAGGTTTGGGATTCAGGCTCCACCTTGGTTGTGACACAGTGCATCAAAATACCTTTATTTTTGATAACTGACTGCAAATGATGCATTTCTTGATCTGGCAGGGAAGGGCTTAAAAGCCTTCCTGTAAGAATGAGGCCAGTTGACCTGTGCCTTGGCTGTTTATTACACAAAATGAAAGTGGGTATGAAAGGCTGCTGAATCAAACTGGCAGTGCTCTACCAGATGCATACCATACTCTTATCAGTACCTTTATGCTTATGACTGTGCTGAAAGTTATTTTCTGGGGCCCTCAAGACAAGAGGGGTATGAACCTGCTTGAACAAGTCCAAAGAAGGGCCACAGAGATGCTGTGAGGGCTGGAGCAGCTCTGCTCTGGAGCCGGGCTGAGAGAACTGGGCTGGGTCAGCCTGGAGAAGAGAAGGCTCCTGAAGGGGAGACCTTAGAGCAGCTCCAGTGCCTGAAGGGGCTGCAGGAAAGCTGGAGAGGGGCTTGGGACAAGGGCCTGTAGGGACAGGCCAAGGGGAATGGCTTGAACCTGCCAGAGGGGAGACTGAGATGAGCTCTTAGGCAGAAGCTCTTCCCTGTGAGGATGCTGAGGCGCTGGCACAGGGTGCCCAGAGAAGCTGTGGCTGCCCCATCCCTGGCAGTGTTCAAGGCCAGGTTGGACACAGGGGCTTGGAGCAAGCTGCTCTAGTGGAAGGTGTCCCTGCCCATGCAGGGGGTGGAACTGGATGAGCTTTAAGGTCCCTTCCAACCCAAACCATTTTATGGTTCTGCTGGGTGGCCCAAAATCAGGTACAGATGTGGTTTAATGATGACTGAGAAAAGGATAAGTTATTCCTTTGATTAGCTTCTGTTCCTGTAGTCACAGTAGGGGCTCCCAGCCAGGGCTGTTGCAGAGTTTAAAGACCCACAAAGGAAATATGAAAGAAGTGAAACGATTGTCAAGAGTAATCAAAAGTCATTGCTCATAGATCTGCAGGGAAAGACTTCAAGTTTTGCTCCGTACCAGGGATTGCACAGTGCAAGGTTTCAGTCCAACTCCACTTGCTGTCAGTTTGTCCCAGTGCAGCACCCTGAGTGTTGGGATTGGTGGGGATAGGGGACCCCGCTTGGTGTGGGTGGCTGGGCAGGGAGATGAAGAGCCATCCTGATGTCCACTATCTGCAACCCTTGCCCACTCAGCTGGAAGCCACATCCTCATAGCTTGTTGTTGCCTTCATCCTACTCCCATGCTCTGGACAAAGGTTCGGTTTTCCAGGAAATTGGGGTATCTGTGGGCAAACACTTGAGTAGGAGTGTTTGCCAAGCAAGTGCTTCTGCTGCGAGGCTGAGAGCAGGTTGCTCTGCACAGCGTGGAGAGGACAGACCCAGCCCGGGGCCATGTGATTCATACCCTATTTTTATCAAGTTCTGTGTGGTGCTGCCATAGTGCAGGATAACGTGTTCCTCCTGCTGCTGTTCCAGCGTGTCACCTCGGCCAAAACCAGTGCTTTTAATTAGCTGCATAGTCCATAATGTGCGTTATCGTACCCTGGGAATTAACTTTATTGTAGTATTGCACCATGTGCCTCCCTGTAAATGTTGAGTTTCACACGTGATGTAATTGCTGAATAGAGAAATCCATTCCTCTGAGAGGTTTCCTTATCAGTAAACTCTAATAAGCTATTGAACAATGTTCAGTGCAACAGTCAAGAGCCCTGACTGTAGGAACAGCCCCCTTATTGAACCCCAGACCTGTCAAAGACAGATAATCCAGCACTGCACAACAGTAGATGGTGCTCTTGGCTTGCATTAGCTGCCTGCAGACATAGCACGAGGAGGTTGTAGGCTCTTAGGGCTGTCCCTAGTGAAACAGTCCTTCTGAAAGCAAAGCTGGAGATGCCCAAGCATGTTATTAGCCTTGCTACGTCTCCCGATGGCCCCCAATCACCATGCACACAGTCTACCAACATGTCCTTCAAGAAGGTGCTGAGGCTACACATGCATACAGGCAAGAAGCCACCTTTTCCATGGCTCTTGAAAGCACCATCTCCTGAGGAGGTCCATCAGAAAAAGAAACCTCTGTCAGCCAGCACCACGTTTACAGCTCTGCAAAACGCTTCTCAGGTGGAGAGAATTCTTGACGGGAAGAATAAAGTGAGATTTCTGTTTAATGGTGTTCTCTTTGTAGGAGGCACTAAGCCAGGCGAGGTGGGGCTGGAGAAGTTCAATGTAGTGATGAAGGTGTATCCATCTCTGGGGCAGCGCATCCTTGTCATAAGCAGCTGGTACAGGGATCATAGAATCATAGAACAGTTTGGGTTGGAAGGGACCTTCAAAGCTCATCTAATCGACCCCCCCTGCAATGAACAGGACATCTTCAACTAGATCATCTTGCTCAGGACCACATCCAGCCTGTCTTCTGCTGGTTCTGGGTGAGATGGCTGCTCTACCACTCTGCTTTGTCCAGCCACACATTTTAAATTATGGCAATTACAGCTTCTATGTTTAGGTTTCCATGAGGGGCTGCGTGGGAGCTGATGACACTTTGTACCTGAGAGGATGCATCAGCAGGTAGAAAAATAAAGCCTCAAAAATAACTTCTGAAAGGATAAACACCCATGTGAAGTCCTCTCTGGGGACTGTTACAATTCAGGGTGTGAATATGATAAGGCCTTAAAGAGAAAGGCAAGCTGTAGATGGTTTGGGTGCCCAGCACTATCAACAACTCTTTTTCAGTCCAAACATGTACTTCAAAGCAAAATGTGCACTGTGCGAGTTATCGCTTTATATGAGCCATACGCACACACTATAGCCTGTGGTTGAGCACCACCAATGTAAGATTATACATAATCTGTAAAAATATTTCTGGTTAAGCAAGTGGTGCTCCATCATGAAAGAGAGCAGCTGTGTGTGGATATAAAGCAGAACAGCAACAATTATACACAGGCAGACTTATATTGCCTGTGTGTGCCAGCATGCTCGTGCACAGGCACAACTGGCATCTTTTAAATAGGCCCCGTTGCCTGGATGTTAAAAGGCTTTAAAAAAAGAAAGGAAAAATGAAGCTTCTGCAGCTTCCTCTGCACTAATTGAATTTTTGTCCATAACATTTACCGACTTTAAGAAGAACTTGCTTATTTACCTTTTCTCTTGAATTTTTTTCTCCTCTCCATTTGAAACTCATTGTATTGTGTCATTTTATAGGCGCCAGGAATAAATCTTTTGTCAAGTCTATTGCATTATTATGCAAAGTGCACAAAAAGTATAGGAAGAAAACAGCCCGAGAGAAGCTGAGTGCTGTTCCTTTCAGTGCTCCCACTGTGCCCCAGCAGCAAGCCTCCAAGTTTGCTAACACAATCTTTTTCTCAGAGGAACTTCCTCACCCTCAGCCATTGATTGTAAAGAGTTCACTTGGCCCTGCTAATGCCAGCTATGAGGAAGTGTATTTACTGAGAGAAGAAAGACTGGATGAAGGAGCCATCAATTATCTCTGCAGAATTGATCCTGGGAGGGTGAAGAAGCTGCTGGACACCAGGAGGATTCTTGGCAGGAGAGAGAGGTCAGCTGCAGTGAAGTCCCCTTTCCCCCAGGGATGGAGACACGTCCCAAGGAGAATCATTTAGGAAAGACCAAAATCATCAGCATTCAAAACTATTAGGAAAGGCAAAGCTCAAGCGGTAGGTGGGAATGTTTCAGCTCCTTTAGGTGGTCTCAGCAGGCTGTGATTGATCTGAGGAGCTCAGAGTGAACGTTGAGGTGGGGAAGAGGGACCTTAACCTGAGACTGACCCTGCCCCGTCCCACCGCCATGGAAAGCACAAGCCAAGCGTCTTCCAGCTGATTGTAAAGCTCCGGGTAAGAACTCATTTAAACACATTAGTGGGGGCTTTAACTTCTAACCCAAGCTCATTGTTGGAACAGAGCTTTGCTCCCACAATGTATCCACAAAATGGAATTAAGCAACTTAATTAGGCTGGGCAAAACACAAAGAGGGATTTAAGAGAGAGGGGACTTGGCGGCTCTCTGCAAGGTGACGTCAGGGATCTCTGGAAAAGCTCATTTGT